ATCATCATCATCATCATCATCATCATCATCATCATCATCATCTTCCGTTTCGTCATCCTCCTCCCTCTCCTCGCATGTATCGTCCTCATCAGTAGCTTCACCATCATCACTGCTATCGCTTATCCGTTATCATCCCCCGCGCTCCTCCCCCTCCATTTCATCTCGGCCCGCGTCCTCATCCCCTTCCCACTGCCGTTGCCTTCTCGTCCTCCATCGTCCTCCCCCTACCCTCCTTTCCCTTCTCCTCTGGTGCTCGGTGTGCACACATGCTCGGTGCGAGTCTACGGCGTGGTGCTACGTTGGGGCTCCTGCTCTTAGTTACGGCGGCAGGGAAGGTTAGCGAAATTGAGACATGGGGTTGGGAAAGTGGTTTCGGGGAGTTCTCAGAATGCCTTCCGTAAAAGCAACACAGGGCAGCCAAGCACTTGTTGATTCACGAGACAAGCTCGGCGGCGAGCCCAGGGGCGGCCCCTCTCGAAGGGCTGAGAAGTTCTCTAAGCCTGAATCCTCCTCCAGAGGCAGAGCTGCCTTCTGAGGAGGCCCGCCCCCTCTTCACTGCACCCAGGCTTCCGTAGGTCGGGCATGTCCCCCTACAGGCGGATCTCGGGCGACAGATTCAGAAAAAAATCTTCAAGGTACTCGAGAAAGCAGCCAACACTTCGTCCCCAGACTACTTTTTGGACTCCTCTTGAGCAGGTCTCCTGTGGAGGGACATGCCCGACGGAACACCCCGCGCGCCGCCGAGCAGCGAGGAGATGGTGGGCGGCTCCGCCGCGGGCGGCGAGCCGCGATGGGCCACGGGAGGGCACCCACAGAGGGAGGCCGCGGGGGGAGCCGCGGGGCCGCCGGAGGCCGTGAGGAGCCCGCCCGGAGAGCACCCGCCGGGCCGCCGAGGCATGACCCACGGCTTGGCGGTGCGCCTATGGGGGTGGAGGGAGGGGGAGGGGAGGGGGGAGGGGAGGGGGAGGGGGAGGAGGGGGGGGGAGGGGGAGGGGGAGGAGGAGGAGGAGGAGGAGGAGGAGGAGGAGGAGGGGAGAGGAGGAAGGAGGAGGAGGAGGAGGAGGAGGAGGAGGAGGAGGTGGAGGAGGAGGGGGAGGGGGATGGGGGGAGGAAGGAGGAGGAGGAGGAGGAGGGAGGAGGAGGAGGAGGAGGAGGAGGAGGAGGAGGAGGAGGAGGAGGGGGAGGAGGAGGAGCGAGGAGGAGGAGGAGGAGGAGGAGGAGGAGGAGGACGAGGAGGAGGAGGAGGAGGAGGGGCAGGGCTTCTTAGACGGAGGCTGCTTCTTAGAAGGCGCCGGCCTTACATCTATAGACAAGGCCCGCGCCTTCTGAGAAGCAGGGGTGCTTCTAAGAAGCCCTCCCCCCTCCCCCCACTCCCCTCTGCGCGTGGCTGAATGGCGTCGCGCCGCGCGCCACAGGAAGGCGCGGAGCGCGCGGGCGGGTGCCAGGAAGCGGCCCAGGTGGTGCGCACTTCCCTGGATTCCTACAGTCCATTTTCAGGAAGAGCAGAGAGTTGGAGAGAGATGCGCGAGATCGAGAGAGAGACAGAGACAGTTAGAGAGAGAGAGAGAAAGAACGACACCCGGCCCCCCCCCACCCCCCACACACGACTCCACCCTCCACTCCACCTCCTGTTCATCCTCCTCCTCCTCATTCTCCTTATTCTTCTCCTCCCCCTCCTCCTCCTCCTCCTCCACCTTTTCCTCCTCCAACTTCTCCTCCTCCTCCTCCACCTCCTCCTCCTCCTCCTCCTGCTCCGCCTCCTCCTCCTCATGCACGGCAACGAAGAATCAGGAGAGGGAGCTTGAGCAGGCGGGGCAAACGCAGCAGCAAGAGCAGGCATGAGGAAAGGCGGCCGGCAAAGGAAGAGCGCAGGAAGCTGCGCGCAATTGGTGGGAGGCCGGCACCTCGCACATCACGTACGAGTAAATATTCTGCGCGAAGTGGTGCATCTCGTTCCGCAGGCACGTGCACTGGCCGCAGGGGCGGAGTCACGCCCCCCCCCCGGTCTTCCTACGCCTTCACCTTCGCGTCATCCCCTTCCATCGTCGTCGTCGCCCTCCCCTCCTCATCCCCCCCCCCGTCGCTTATCGCTCTCGCCCTCCGAAACAACGCGCTTCGAGGACGGTTGCTCGGGAAACACCCCGCCACGCGTCGGAACCTGGGAACCCTCCCCGCCCGAAAAGAAGACATGGAGCGCGCCCGGAAGACCAGGGGGACCTCCCCCCCCAGAGCGCCCGCCCGGCCCTGAACCACCCACCCCCTCGCCCCCCCCATCTGACAGAGAACACTTGCGACGACGACCGACGACGCCGAAGAGGACGACGGCGCCAGCGGCGGCGGCGGCGGCCCACCTGGCGCCGGCGCGCTGGCGAGCGGGAGGGGGCATCGGCCTCCCCCCCCCCGCTCGCCGACGGCAAACCATCATCATCATCACCATCATCATCAGCATCACCAACATCACTATCATCATCATCATCATCAGCAGCAGCAGCAGCAGAAGCATCAGGAGCATCACCATGATCATCATCATCATCATCATCATCATCATCATCATCATCATCATCATCATCATCATCAGCAGCAGCAGCAGCAGCAGCATCATCGACAACATCCACATCAGCATCGTCATCTCCATCATCGTCAGCATCATCATCGCCATCGTCATCAGCAGCATCAGCATCGTCAGCCTCATCCTCATCAACATCATCATCACCAGCATCACCATTACAATCAGCGTCAACAGCATCACCACGAGCATCATCATCAACATCATCATCATCATCATCATCAGCTCCTTCACCAACATCATAATCAGCAGCACCATCATTATCAGCAGCATCAGCATCAGCATCATCGTCAGAACCATCGGCATTAACATCATCCGCTTCATCAATACCGCCACCATCAGCATTTGCAACATCACAATGCTACCGTCATCTGGAACAACATACACACGGCAGTACCAACAGCAGCAGCAGAAACAACAGCAACAACAAGAATAATAACAGCTACAACGCCAAAAACAACAACAACAACAACAACAACAACAACAACAACAGCAACAGCAGCAGCAACAGCAACAACCACAACAACAACAACAGCAGCAACAACAACAACAGCAACAAAAACAGCAACAACACGAACAACAACAACAACAACAACAACAACAACAACAACAACAATGACGACAACAACAACAACAAGAACAACAACAACAACACCAACAACAACAACAACAACCACAACAACACTAACAGCAACGGCACCGACGTCAGCAGTAACAACAACAACACCAACACCAACAACAACAACAACCACAACAACAGCAGCAACAACAACAACACCAACACCAACACCAACACCAACAACAACAACAACAACCATTTTAAGGCTGTACGCTCTTACTTGCCCGCGAATCATTCAACACGTATACCCTACACCCTCGATACCCGCCCTCTTCGTCTTCGATCACACCCCTTTCGGGGGGATTAATTCTCTTTGCTGGGGCCGGCGGGCTTAGACGTACGGGCAAACCGGAACGGGCGGACAATCCTTCGGGGGCGTACATCTCTCTGCCCGCCATTGGAATTGGCGCGGGCCCTGCAAGAGGAGGAGGGGAAGAACGAGGGAGAGTGGGAGGAAGGGGAGGGGGAAGGACGAAGGAAGAGGGAAGATATCACGTTGTGAAGGCGTCCTTGGCGCGCGCGTGGTTCCTGAGCGCCGAAACGCAATTCCAGAATAATTTGTGAGGACGTCGCACGCGAGAGCGCAGTCCTGAGTACATTGTGAGGAAATCTCAGGCGGAAGCGGGGGCCCTGACTAAGTTGCGAGGGAGTCTCAAGCGGGAGCGCCGTTCCTGAGCAAATTGCACGGAAGTCTCAGGCGGGAGCGGGGGTCCTGACTAAATTGCGAGGAAGTCTCAGGCGGGAGCGCCGTTCCTGAGTCAATTGCGTGGAAATGTCAGGCAGGAGCGGGGGTCCTGAGTAAAATTCGAAGAAGTCTCAGGCGGGAGCGCCGTTCCCACGTAAATTGCACGGAAGTCTCAGGCGGGAGCGGGGGTCTTGATTACATTGCGAGGAAGTCTCAGACGGGAGCGCCTTTCCTGAGTAAATTGCGCGGAAGTCTCAGGCGGGAGCGGGGGTCCTGAGTAAAAATCGAGGAAGTCTCAGGCGGGAGCCGTTGTTGTTGTAGCCCGGGGGGCAGGGGCACAGTTTGAGCAGGAAGACTTTCCTTGAGAAAAAACAAGGTGCGAGCCCCGGGGGTGGCACTTCAATCGAAAAAACAATGTGCACCGGTGGGGGGATCAACAATAATTATTCTTCAAGAATGAGGGTTCAACAACAACAACGGCAATGACATCAGCAGCAACAACAACAACAACCACAGCAACAGCAACAACTACAACAACAACAGCACCAACACCACCAACAACAACAACAACAGCAACAATAACAACAGCAACAACAACAACAACAACAATCATTTAAGACTGGGGACACTCCGTTCTCACCAGTGCCAGGGTTTTCATAGGAGGCGGGCAATACCCCCACTTTGTGGGGGGGCCGGTTCAAGCTCTACCAAGTTTCCAACGACTCTTCGCCACCACCCACACCCAGCTTCCCGCCCTATGACGTTCGGACACTTCACTTCGTGGCCTGCGGACGACCTTGGCTAATATTCGAGGCCCCGCGCCGACGACGACGGCGTGCGCGCCGTGTTCGAAGCAAACAAACGAATGTGTCCCATATGGTATTATTTGACAGGGATGATGGCCCTGCCATGCGCGCAACCGTTGTTGCAGAAGTTCGAAGCACGTGAAAAAGTTGCTCGCAAGAGCCCGTTTGACAGAAATGTTGAAAAAATATTGGGTTTCCTCAGAAATCCGCAAGAGCGCGCAAGATGAATTTTTGAAACTTTTGTTTTGAAAAACCATTGGGTTTTTCATGTTCTTATGTTAAAATCGCTACGAAAACTAAGGTTTTGGAAGGATTTCATATTGCGCGCGCGAGTGTGCACTTCGTGTCATTTTTTTCAAAGGATTCTTGAAGTTTGGTTATGTTAGAACAAGAAATTTCATTTTATAGTGTTTTTTGCAAGGGAAAGCGGGCGTCAACAAAACAACCGGATCTGGTATACCCCGTTTTGCCTGAGACTTCCTCACGAAAATGATGAAAATGTGGCTGCGGCCTAGGCGCGGCGGGGGGGGCGCGCACCAGGGGGCCCAACAATAATTATTCTTTAGAATTAATAATGTTCAACAACAACAACAACAACAACAACAACAACAACAACAACAACAACAACAACAACAACAATTACTAGCACGTGGGGACACTCCGTTCTCACCAGCGCCAGGGTTTTCATAGGAGGCGGGCAATACCCCCACTTTGTGGGGGGGGCCGGTTCAAGCTCTACCAAATTTCCAAACGACTCTTCGCCACCACCCACACCCAGCTTCCCGACCTATGACGTTCGGACACTTCACTTCGTGGCATGCGGACGACCGTGGCTACTATTCAGGGCCCCGCGGCCGACGACGACGGCGTGCGCGCGCGAAGAAAAAACGAATGTGTCCCGCATGGTATTATTTGACAGGGATGATGGCCCTGGCAGGTGCGCACCGTTGTCGCAGAAGTTCGAAAAAGTTGCTCGCAAAAGCCCGTTGGACAGAAATGTTTAAAAAGTGTTGGTTTTCCTACGAATCCGCAAGAGCGCGCGGGATGAGATTTTGACATTTTTTTGTTGAAAAACCATTGGTTTTTTGATGTTTTTATGTTAAAATCGCTCCGAACAATAAGCTTTTGGAAGGATTTCGTCTTGCGCGCGCGAATGTCCACTTTACCTTATTTTTTGCAAGGAATTCTTGAAATTTGATTATATTAGAACAAGAAATGTCATTTTCTATTGTTTTTTGCAAGGGAAAGCGGATTACAACAAAACAACCGGATCCTGTACACACCCTCTTTTCTGAGGCTTCCTCACGAAAATGATGAAATTGTAGCTGCGGCCTAGGCGGCGCAGGGGGGGCGCGCACCAGGGGGCCCAACAATAATTATTCTTTAGAATAAATAATGTTCAACAACAACAACAACAACAACAACAACAACAACAACAACAACAACAATGACTAGCACGTGGGGACACTCCGTTCTCACCAGTGCCAGGGTTTTCATAGGAGGCGGGCAATACCCCCACTTTGTGGGGGGGCCGGTTCAAGCTCTACCAAATTTCCCAACGACTCTTCGCCACCACCCACACCCAGCTTCCCGCCCTATGACGTTCGGACACTTTCACTTCGTGGCATGCGGACGACCGTGGCTACTATTCAGGGCCCCGCGGCCGACGACGACGGCGTGCGCGCGCGAAGAAAAAACGAATGTGTCCAGCATGGTATTATTTGACAGGGATGATGGCCCTGGCAGGTGCGCAACCGTTGTTGCAGAAGTTCGAAAAAGTTGCTCGCAAAAGCCCGTTTGACAGAAATGTTTAAAAAGTGTTGGGTTTCCTACGAATCCGCAAGAGCGCGCGGGATGAAATTTCGACAATTTGTTTTTGGAAAACCATTGGTTTTTTTAATGTTTTTATGTTAAAATCGCTACGAAAACTAAGGTTTTGGAAGGATTTCGTCTTGCGCGCGCGAATGTCCACTTTACCTTATTTTTTGCAAGGGATTCTTGAAGTTTGGATATGTTAGAACAAGAAATTTCATTTTATAGTGTTTTTTTGCAAGGGAAAGCGGGCGTCAACAAAACAACCGGATCTGGATGACATCGTTTTACCTGAGGCTTCCTCACGAGAATGATGAAAACGTGGCTGCGGCCTAGGCGCGGCGGGGGGGGCGTGCACCAGGGGGCCCAACAATAATTATTCTTTAGAAGTAATAATATTCAACAACAACAGCAACGGTCACCAACACCAAACGATCACCAACGGCGGGCGGCTGCGAGACCTTGTGCAGCGTCTGCCGCACCTCCAGGCCGAGCTCGGGGGCCCGCTGGCCCAGCTCCTGCCCGCGGGCGGCCAGGTGGCGCTGCAGCGCCTGGCTCGGCCAGGGGGGGAGCAGGAGGAGGAGGAGGAGGAGGAGGAGGAGGAGGAGGAGGAGGGAGGAGAGGAGGAGGAGGGGAGGAGGAGGAGAGGAAGGAGGAGGAGGATGGCGGGGGGAGAGGAGGAGGAGGAGGAGGAGGAGGAGGAGGAGCAGGAGGAGGAGCAAGGGAGGAGGAGGAGGAGGGGGGCGAGAAGAGGAAACGGGACGAGAAGAGGAGGAGGAGTGAGGAGGAGGAGGAGGAGGCGGGGGGGAGGAGAGGAGGAGGAGGAGGAGGAGGAGGAGGAGGAGAGGAGGAGGAGGAGGAGAGGAGGAGGAGGAGGAGAAGGAGAAGGAGGAGGAGAAGGCGAGGACGAGGAGTAGGGGGGGAAGAGGAGGAGGAGGAGGAGGAGGAGGGAGGCAGGAGGGAGGAGGAGGAGGAGAAGGAGAAGGAGGAGGACGAGGAGGAGGAGCAGGAGGATAAGGTGGGAGGGGGAGGGGGAGGGGAGGGGGAGGGTGAGGAGGAGGAGGAGGAGAAAAGGAGGAGGAGGAGTGAGGTGGAGGCGGTAAGAGGAGAAGAAGAGAAGGGGAGGCGCAGGAGAGAGGAGGCGGGGGGGGGAGGCGGAGGGAGGAAGGAGGAGGAAGGAGGAGGACGAGGAGGAGGGACGAGGAGGAGGAGCAGGAGGAGGAGGGACGAGGCTAGGAGAGGGAGCAGGAGGAGAGGAGGGGGGGGAGAAGGAAGAGCAGGGAGGCGGAGAAGGAGGAGAGGGAGTGGGGTGAGGGAGGGTGGAGGGAGAGGAGAGGGGAGGGGGAGGAGGAGGAGGAGGAGGAGGAGGGGAGGAGGGAGGTGGAGGAGGAGGAGCAAGGAGCAGGAGCAGGAGCCGGAGCAGGAGGAGGAGGAGAAGGAGGAGGAGGAGGAGGAGGAGGAGGAGGAGGAAGGGGAGAGGAGGAGGAGGAGGAGGAGGAGGAGGAGCAGGAGGTGGAGGAGGAGGAGGAGGAGGAGGAGGAGGACAGGGGAGGGGGCGGAGGAAGGGGGAAGAGGTGAAGGAAGGAGGCGGAGGAGGAGCAAGCAAGCAAGAAAACAAGCAAGCAAGCACGCACGTACGCACGCACGCAAGCAGGCAGGCAAGCAAGCAAAGCCTGCAGAGTCCTGCAGTAGACCCACTTCGCGGCGAGCAGCGCCATGAGGGCCTACCTAGGGCTCTTCTGAGGGCTTCACCAACCTGAGCACGGGCGACGGCCGCGCCCTCCCCAGATGGGGCACGGGTCCACTCCGCAACCCCATGGGCACAGCTTCCCCTTTATACAGCGCCGCCCGCAGGGCGTGAGCCCCGAGCACCACCCATCTGAGAGCGGGGTGGACGGGACCCGAGACGAGCGGGACGAGCAGGGGAGAGGGTGGCGACGTGAACAGACGGGCGCGGAGCGTGAGAAGATGTGGGCAGCGAGGCCTGAGTGGCTCGCTGCACTGCCCCAGCCGAGACCAGGCCTCGGCGCATCAACTCTGCTGGCCTTCTGCTTCCGAGCAGCGCTCGGAGGCGGGGCAGACTCGGGCCGCCTTGGTGGTGAGGCTCACGATCTCCCTCGCCAACGGCCCCCGCGGGGCAGGACCCGACAGCCTCTCCGCCGACAGGTTCTGCATGATCTTCCCCACGGGCTCGCAGTGGTTCTGCCCCGCTGCGGTCTTTGCGTCCATCGCCCACTCGAAGTGGCCCGGGGATCCCTCCCCTCCCGAGCCTTGTGCAAGCGCACGCGGAAGACACGGATGAGGAGCCCAGATCGCGAAAGGGGATGTTCGCCGAAGGCCTTGATCACGTCATCTCCTCGTTTTTTCCGGTGAAGTGAACGCACGCCGCGATCAAGAACGCCAAGAAGACGTGCAAGTGCGGGCTCCCGCGTCCTTTCCAATCCTGAGCCGTGCCATGAGACTGCAATTTCTTCATGTCTTTGCTGTCGTTGTTGTACCCCTTGCCCGCGCGAACGCAAGCGTCCACGAGCGGGTTGCCGGCTGAAAGCAGCGCGCACTCGAAGACCGTCCGCCGACTTCAACTCGGCCAAGTCCAGCCCCAGCGACACGATGAGGGGTGCCATGGTGCTCACAAGATTGGGGTGGTTCGCTCCATTGCCGCTGTTGGCCTTGCCCCCGTCCTGTTCGGCCTGGTCGTTCTTCTCCTTGTCCTCCACGCCCCATTTCCTTAGACTAGAAGTAAGAAGACAGACCCCCAAGTGCAAGCACTGTTTGAGCACTGTTGTGAACGAGCAAAAAGCGCGATGCAAGCGCGAACACGAAAGAGTGTCATTTGTGTGCTGCAATCGATGTGGTGCAGTATACGAGGTTGTGCAAGCTATGTGTTGCAATATATATATATATGTATATATATATATGTGTGTGTGGTGCGATGCATGTGGCAAGAGCTAGCGTACGCACGTATGTGGATCGATCTATGTGGTGCAAGCTGTGTGGTGAACTCTGTGGTAGGAGCTAAAGTACTCATCTGTTTGGTGTGAGCTATATGGTACAAGTTACGCGGTGCAGTGGATTGCAACCGATTGAAGCGCAATCGATTGGACTGCAATAGGTTGGCTTGGAATCGTTTCGATTGCAATCGTGTAAGCTCATAGTGCAATATATGTGGTGGCAGGATGTGTAGTGCTATCAATGTTACTCGCACCGCAGACGCGAAAGAAGTCGGGCCATCTATGTGGTGCAATATGTGGGGTGCAATCTAGGGTGTGCAACATGTGTTGTGCAACCTATCTTGTGTACTCTATGTGGAGCGATACCTGTGGTTGCTCAATCGATGTAGTGCAGACTATGTTGTGCACAACATGTGGTGCAGTCTATGCTGCGAGCGATCTAAGAGCGCGCCGCAGGCGCGATTTGGTGCGTGACATCTGCGTGATGCCATCCAACGGCGGTGACAGGCAGCGACGAGTCGGCAACGGGGCGGCGACATGGTGGCGATGAGACGACAACAT